AACTGGAAAACCAGGTTTTCTCAGAGCGACATCCTGTAGATGTTCTGCTGTAGAAAGTCTCATATACAGTTTGGTCTGGCTGCATTCTTACTAGATGGCCAAACCACTTCTGTCTTTTAGTGTAAGTTAGTCACAAATTTGTTCAAATCCTCTGTCTAATGCTACTTACTTTTCTTGACCTGTCTTTTCTTGCGTCGTCTTAAATTCAAGTATTTCTGGTTCGTTATTTCCAAAACCACAGATATTGCATGTTCCATATGTATGACTTTCCTAATTTCATGTACAGTCTCAAGATGATTTAATTACGAAAACTGACTGCGTGGCTTATTTCATAGCTTAACATATGAATACAAAATAAGTGCCATTGGACATTATCATATGTAGTTGTTAGTGAGTCAATATTTTTTTTTTAAATCCAAATACTACATTTGAGACTTACTGTATTTAATTTCACATCCAACAGCTTGACCAGTTCATTAATGTGATCCATAAAAAACTCGATGACAGTTACGTTGGAGGCTAGAAGTAGAATAGGCAGACAAACTCGCTCAATGGATGCTCTACGAATCTCTGGCTGAAACGTTTCCTCTTTGATAAATATGGCGTATGGAATGTCTGCAGCTGGTTTCTGCTGGTTGGAAGGTAGCCTAGTAGAATGACAGAATTTTTTTTTTTTTTAGAATACTTTAAGACTCTTTTGTTGACATTAAGGGTTATGACTACAGTTTCATAATTCTATTACACATGGTTGGATTTAGCTGCCAAAGTAAACTACAAATCAGTGATGACAATGAGGATCTTATATTGATGATTTTAATCAGTCGAAGGCGGCGGCGGTGGCAGTGGCAACAACGACGACAATGATGATGCAAATGATGATATAGTCTTCTTAGTGTTGACTAGCCGTAAACTCCAGCAGAAAGTTCTGGTTGTTCATTTGTTCCTAGACTTTGGTCTTGTTCCATATCTATCTTACTTATATGCAGACTGTTGGTTCCTCATCTCTCAGGCAGATGAACGAAACACTCATCATTAGTCACCTTTTATAACATACTTATTAGGGAAGCAGTGAGTCTATTTTTGTCCCCACCTAAATGGGGCTCTGGAACCAAAACATGGAGAAAATTATGACGATTTTGATTAGATGGATGATGAGAATGATAATAATGACTACAATTATCCAGATAATGATAAAAATAACAATGTAAATTAACAACAACAACCAACCACTAACCTCTTAACGAAGCTGATGATCCCCTGTTGTATAACATCCTCGTGGGCATGCTTGTTCTCCCGGCACAAGACACTGATGATAACTTCCAGTAACATCAGACTTCCTGTCATCTCCATGGCCACCAGCAGCTATAAATGTAATGCAACAATAAATGGAGGAATCTGAAGCAGGAACACAGCAGCTACATATTTAACACAGCGATAAAGGGAATAATCTGCAACCGTGACATGGTAGTCATAAATACATGGAATAGTTTGGAACCGTCACATGGTAGTCATAAATACATGGATTCAGGCAACTGAAAAAACCCTACATTAACATCACTCCAAAAGCACCTGTTCACCATTGCAACCCCTCCCCCCCCCTCGCCCATCGCTCGCGCGCCTGCGCATCGCTCGCGCGCCTGCGCATCGCTCGCGCGCCTGCGCATCGCTCGCGCGCCTGCGCATCGCTCGCGCGCCTGCGCATCGCTCGCGCGCCTGCGCATCGCTCGCGCGCCTGCGCATCGCTCGCGCGCCTGCGCATCGCTCGCGCGCCTGCGCATCGCTCGCGCGCCTGCGCATCGCTCGCGCGCCTGCGCATCGCTCCCGCGCCTGCGCATCGCTCCCGCGCCTGCGCATCGCTCCCGCGCCTGCGCATCGCTCCCGCGCCTGCGCATCGCTCGCCGCGCCTGCGCATCGCTCGCGCGCCTGCGCATCGCTCCCCGCGCCTGCGCATCGCTCCCCGCGCCTGCGCATCGCTCGCTCGCGCGCATGCGCTCGCTCGCGCGCGCCTGCGCATCGCTCGCGCGCCTGCGCATCGCTCGCGCGCCTGCGCATCGCTCGCGCGCCTGCGCATCGCTCGCGCGCCTGCGCATCGCTCGCGCGCCTGCGCATCGATCGCGCGCGCCTGCGCATCGCTCTCGCGCCGCCTGCGCATCGCTCGCGCGCCTGCGCATCGCTCGCGCGCCTGCGCATCGCTCGCGCGCACTGCGCATCGCTCGCGCGCCTGCGCATCGCTCGCGCGCCTGCGCATCGCTCGCGCGCCTGCGCATCGCTCGCGCGCCTGCGCATCGCTCGCGCGCCTGCGCATCGCTCGCGCGCCCTGCGCATCGCTCGCGCGCCTGCGCATCGCTCGCGCGCCTGCGCATCGCTCGCGCGCTGCTGCGCATCGCTCGCGCGCCTGCGCATCGCTCGCGCGCCTGCGCATCGCTCGCGCGCCTGCGCATCGCTCGCGCGCCTGCGCATCGCTCGCGCGCCTGCTGCGCATCGCATCGCTCGCGCGCCTGCGCATCGCTCGCGCGCCTGCGCATCGCTCGCGCGCCTGCGCATCGCTCGCGCGCCTGCGCATCGCTCTGCGCGCCTGCGCATCGCTCGCGCGCCTGCGCATCGCTCGCGCGCCTGCGCATCGCTCGCGCGCCTGCGCATCGCTCGCGCGCCTGCGCATCGCTCGCGCGCCTGCGCATCGCTCGCGCGCCTGCGCATCGCATCGCTCGCGCGCCTGCGCATCGCTCGCGCGCCTGCGCATCGCTCGCGCGCCTGCGCATCGCTCGCGCGCCTGCGCATCGCGCGCCTGCGCATCGCTCGCGCGCGCCTGCGCATCGCTCGCTCGCGCGCCTGCGCATCGCTCGCGCGCCTGCGCATCGCTCGCGCGCCTGCGCATCGCTCTCGCGCGCGCTGCGCATCGCTCGCGCGCCTGCGCATCGCTCGCGCGCCTGCGCATCGCTCGCGCGCCTGCGCATCGCTCGCGCGCCTGCGCATCGCTCGCGCGCCTGCGCATCGCTCGCGCCTGCGCATCGCTCGCGCCTGCGCATCGCGCTCGCGCGCGCCTGCGCATCGCTCGCGCGCGCCTGCGCATCGCTCGCGCGCCTGCGCATCGCTCAGTCGCGCGCCTGCGCATCGCTCGCGCGCCTGCGCATCGCTCGCGCGCCTGCGCATCGCTCGCGCGCCTGCGCATCGCTCGCGCGCCTGCGCATCGCTCGCGCGCCTGCGCATCGCTCGCGCGCCTGCGCATCGCTCGCGCACCTGCGCATTGCTCTGCACCACTGCATTTTACACCATTATATCGCAAGTGCATAATTTGCATAACTTGTATACCTTACCACCACAGAGGCACACCTAACTCTATGACATTCACCTTGTTGATGGCAGCAATGTAGTTCTTATACTGGTGTGAACCCTCAGTGAACTCTGAACTCCTCAACGGGAAGTTGTCAGCAATGAACCTGTTCACAGAATTCCTAGAAGTAGATTAAAACACTGCAATTAGTTAATCAACAGATTCTCCTCACTGCACAAGTTGGATGCCATCTTCAGTATCTCCCTCAGCGTGTGGAGACACCAGTTCTGTGCTGGTTTACTACCCTCCCAGTTATTCTTGTACTGTATTGTAGCCGTCACTAATTATACATAAAGAAAACTTGTGCATTATTTATATAGTTAGTGTTAGGCATAAACACTACAGTACAACTGTAAAATCTACACAACTGGTGGCTTTTTTCTTTTTTTTTTTTTTTACATGGTTTGCCAACAGAAATATTGTATTGCATCAACTATTTCTATTGCATGCAAAAAATATACAAGATCAGACCTTGTAAATATTAACTAGCACATCTCCATAGCCATATTTCATTCTCATTATGTTCCCACAATGCAATGGCTTGGAATATCTTGGTTTCTGTGTGTGCAGAATTTTCAAAGCATTAAATTTAAAATGCTGAATCCACCAAGTTGTTGCTATCTGCGTGTTTATTACATTTCTAATTCAACTCTTCATTCTACTTTTCTAGATTGATCCTTGAGTCCTGAAAGAGATTTTGGGATGCAGAATTCTTCTGCAGGTTCGTTCCGTTTTCTTGTTGCCATTATTTTCCACTTCTTGTAACAGCTCAATCTTTCTTTGCAAAGATACGGATTTTTACTTTCCAACTATATTTAGAGGGGAAATAACTCAAATTCTATTACCGATGATACACACAATTTCCTAAAATAGCAGAAAAGTTATACAAATGGCCTGGTATTTTAAATTTAAAAAAAAAAAATTTTTTTTTTAAGTTAGGCTTATGCAGATCAAAATATGTTTAATTGCCAGGAATATCCTAATATTTGTGATAGTTTCCGCTTAACTTTAATTTGTGTAATTTTTTTTTTTTTCAAAGAAAGACAAATTGCATAAACAAGTTTATGAATACATTGCTTTGTCCACATTCCCGGCACGGTAACTATAGCTTTAGATTTTTATGTTGTCTAGTGTGTGCTTCTATCTTTCTACTTTCTATGAGTGCCAATCAATACATTGTCTCTTCATTATTATTTATATATATATATATATATATATATATATATATATATATATATATATATATATATATATATATATATATATATATATAATATTTGTACGGCTCCAAGGGTTCCCCATCTGGTTTTGTGATGAAGTCCAGCAACCCATGAATTGATAATAAACCTCTTATAAAAGCAATATTCCATACATATCAATTTATCAGAAAGAATCCTTATTCGTTAATGCTTCATTAATTCTTTCGAACTATACAATTCACCTTTTTTTTAACATTATGCAACTTAAGAGAGACTCACATTTGAGACTCAAAGATTGCTACTCTAAAGTAAACAAACTTCTTGTTTCACAAGTTCAGTTCATTGAGGCTCAAATAATGTTGCCCTAAAGTACATAAACTCACGGTGTTCCACAAGTAGTTCAAAGATTGTTGCCCTTAGGCACCCGAAAAGGCTGAGCATGTGCTCCAACACTGTCAGCTATATGCTGACAACAAAGACGCAATCTGGCCTGTTCCAACCACAATGAAGACAAAACTGTATGGTACACGAGAAGATATGGATTGCACGATAGCTTTCATAAAGGCTACCGGCCTCCTGATATAAGTTTTCTGAAAGAAGGATCGAAGAAGAAGAAGTGCATAAACTCATTTTGTTTCACAAGTTTAGCTCACTGAGGCTCAAAGATTTGCTCTCAGCAAGCACTGAGGTAACAACTGTCTAGTACTGACAGAGTTAAAGCAGACAATTCTGGTTCACGTAAATTCTAAATACAAGAATGAATAAATGTTGAATGTAGAATTAGGAATTGACATCATCAGCACTAGTGACACTCCCATAAGTGCTCAGTCCCCATCTACAGCAGCAAGCAAAGAGTTCCAATTCTGAAGGTACCGGTAACCGTCTGATTGTATATCTGTCTCATCCTTCCCCAGAGGGTTTAGCGTCTGCCAGATCTCCTGGTGACTCCTCGCAGCGCCATTCTCCTTAGACCGTAATGATCTATCTGTGATTCTGCACTGTTCACTCGCTCCCAAAGGGCCCTTACAATATCTAACTTGTCATACATCAATTCACCACCAAGTGGTGCAGAGTCAGCCAGCCAGTCTATCTGTTTGCTCACTTCCCAACACACCGGCATACCCTGAAGAAAATATCCATAGGATGCTAACTACCCGGGACCTCTGAAGTGATGCTTGCCCCTCTGCACGAAGCAAGCCCATTTTCACCTTTCTCAACATGCTCTGAGTCAGTTACAATCACGGCATGTGTGTACAGCTGATTCTTAAGCCAGCGGAAGGCAGCTAAAACTGCCTCCAACTCCATTCGCAAACTAGACCTTGTAATATATGCAAGGCTTCACTGCACTAGGCGATGTCCATTCGCCTTTGCTATGAAACCCTATGCACTTCCTCTGCCCCTCAACACAGAACCATCTGTTCAGTTAATCACATCACTTGGGTGGAAATTGTCATGAATCATTTGTTGAGCTTCTAGCTGGCTAGTCTCTGCACTCACGACTTTAAGTGATTAGAACCCTACATAAATCTGAAACCACCTTAACCCACTCCTCTCCTCACTCAAAATTATCAAGTATGCACACATGTCTGATTGTGTCTTCAGCTTGCGCCATCCAAGATCTTCCTCTTTTCAGTCTGTGACCCTTAGCTCAACCCAGGGCTTCATGCAGGAGGTGTTTCTTGTCTGCAGCTACTCTGAGATATGACTTAGCCTGTAGAACTTTTGAGCCTATCTGCAATAGTACGCAGTGCAAGTATATATATCGCATACATATACTACCGGGGTATCTTTTGTACATCCCAAAATAACCCGCATGTCTTAATTCTGTATGCGTTCAAGTTTTATCAGCATGACTCTTTGATATGGTAAGCATTCCAAGTCCATAATCTATCACCGACAGAATCGCATGCTGGAAAATTGTAAACAGCATTCTTTGTTCCATGTCCTTTGCAGCCATAATCTTGAGAGCAGAGTCCTTTTTAGCATTTCACCACAACTGCCTCCATGTGATTCCTATAGGACAGGCTTCTCTCGAAAGTCGGCAAATGTCAGTATTCTTTCAATACCTGGTGCTTCAGGTTCTGCAATCTTGCTTGTATACACATTAAAGAGCACCGGTGAAACTGCAGGGTAGTCACAGGGCTATATTACATGGTTCTGAGGTCCATGTACCCAAGCGAAGGGTAACCATACATGCTATACAGTTCACAAGCCAGGGACAAACTCCCTTCTCCATGAGTGCAGATATCAAAACATCATATCTGACTCTATTCTAGGTATCTTTAAGATCAAGTGCTGCCACAACTGTCTCCTGTCTGTTCTGGAACCCTTCATAAACATCAAAAGCAAAAATTAGACCATATATCTTTCCGTGGCCGGTAACTACCCAAAATTTTTGGCAACAACTCTTCCCTTTCCAAAAACCTTTGTAGTTTAACAGCAATAATCTTCTCTAGCACCTTGTCAAAAGTATTCTGTAGGGTGATAATCCTGAAACCGCTGTCTGGAATGATCTTTGCCTGGTTTTGAAAGGGGGATCTGTAGCTGCGTACCCAATCCTGGGGTACTGACGCTGTTCTGATGCTCTGGTTAAAGTGAAATGCCATCTCCCTCAAGTCTTCATCACTCATGCTCTTCATATGGGCATACCTCACTCTGTCTGGCCGTGGCAGTGTCTTTTGCTTTTTGCAATACATATTTTATATCCTCCACCCTTATGACATCCTGAAAATAATTGATCATTTATAGTATTAGACAGATTATCTCTAACTGAATTTCTAAGCTCTCTATCATTATGATCAGTTTGGGTAAAAATCTCTTCAAAAATTCTTCCCCTTTCTCTTTGTCTGTTGTCATTGATATACCATTATCAGTGGTGATAGGCCGATCCTTCCTTTGCATCTGTCCATGCAGTTTCCATAACCTGCCTAGTGATTTATCCCCTCCAATATCGCTTATAAATTGTTCCCATTCAGCCTTTTTCGCATCTGCTGCACAACTCTTTGAACTCTTCTACTTTTTCTTTTCTACCTTTTCCTAGATTCTCTACATCCTCTTGTAACCCGTGAGGTGCCTTTCACACTTTATGTAATTGTTTAACTGCTGCTCGCTTTGCTCTCCATGCCTGTTCTACTTCTTGGGTTTACCACGGAGGCTGCACAAAAGCAGAGGTGGTAGTTCTGCTGTATACCTTCTATCGAAAGCGTCCAAGAAGGGTACTGTCCCTATCATACTTAAAAGTTTTGAGCGTTCTCACAGCCATGACCTTGCTAGCTTTAGAAATCAAGACTGAGCATGGCATATGGTCACTCCTATGATCACCTAGGACACTCCATGTTGTGTCCAGCACTGCTGACTGGGTAACAAACGCCTAATCAATAGCCATGTCTGCATCACCAGGTCTAGTTGCCGTTCTAGTTGGCCTACCATTGTTTATACAGACTACGTCTGCATCCACCATAGCCTCTGCTAAAACATTTCCGTGTCTGTTTTTCCCAGTACTGTCCCGCGATCTTTTCCAAGTGTTAAAATTCCCACAAATGAGAAGTCTATTTCCAGGGATTTCCTCCAACTTTTTGTGCCAGTCCCAATGTTTCTTTGTGACAAGAGAGTCAACCGCAGCATAAACATGTACTATTTTCCAAGTTGTTTTCCCATTAACTATCTGTACACCCTGAACCTCTAGTGTACTATGATTCCACTGGCGCTGGTCAAGAACCACACGTTTCAGCCCACTCTTCACCAGCAGACATTGCCCATGCCTTTCCTGTCCGGTAGGATTTATATAACTAATGTATCAAAGACACTCATATCTATCTATGTTTAATTCCTGCAGCATAATGATATCAAAGTCATAAATCAGTCTCTCCAGTACAGGTTCTATCTGCTTGGCACTACGACAATAACCCACTCTAATATGCTTTAATCCCAGATGCTCTGTTTTATGCCTGACTCTCCGGGCACCGGCTCTCCGATTTCTATGCCATCTTCTCTCTCCATTTCCTCGTCCTCTCCTCTTCCCGTTCTCTCCATTGCCACCTGTATTATCAAGCACACAGCATGCACTCCGTAGCTCCGGCGATGATTCTTTTTATTATTAAGTACAAAATCCATAGAAGGTATTCTTTCTGAATACAAGAAAAGCAATGTACTGGTGCATGTAAATTCTGAAAACAAGAAAATCAACACAAATATGCTAGATAAACTTTGAACAAGTACAATTTTAGGGGCCGGGATTACATAAAGTAGCTTACTTCAGCTGATCCTGGTGGTCATCTCTCAGTGCAGCAAAGAACGGAAGCAAGTCCAGGACCTGGTTCTATTGTGGGGGGAAAAATATTGTAATAAATCCAACCCTATACCTTGTCATAACAGCAATATAAACACAAAAACTGTATAAATGTTCTTCAGTAATCAAGCTTCTTAGTCATATTTTACATCAATCTGCTGTTCAAACTGGTAAGACACGTTCTAAAATGCTCCTAGCACTGCTTCTTAAAACAACAAGAAACTGACCAAAAAAGACAAAAACAAGAGACTACACAATTTATTGCCTGGCAAATTTCACCGTATCTTGTTGGGTGCACACTACAGTTACAACTGAATACAATAAAAGTGTTCAACTAGACATGTGACAATGAATTAGAGATGTGAGTGTAGTGAATTAGTGACTCTTGTCTATAAACTTTTCAGGGTTCACAACCAAGATTAAGATGTCTGCTCCGACACGCAAATAAAACTAAACCAGACTGTTGTTCTTCCACTCTCTACCCCTGAATGGAGCACTGACCCTCAACTAACTCATGGCAACGTGTCCTATCCTTTGCTATCTTGTACAGCAATAAGAGTTCTACCCGACTCTTTCACTTCACAATCTAATTCCCTTCCCCAAGTGCCTTTTGGTCTTCCTTTATTACTAGAAAAATAATCTATAAAGATATTGCCTAATCAATCTGTTTAAGGTTTTTAACACAATGCTTATAACTCTAGAGTAGTGGATCAGACTACTACCCTTCTCAGACAAGGATGAAAAACTAGGAGCACCTATATTCATTTTGTGCATGTTAAAAATATGTGCGATTGGAAACTGATACTAGCTAGCCACAAAGGCCACCACCTGGGCTAAACTTCAAAATTCTAAAATCTACTCATAAGTTGATAGAATCTTGGATCCTGGTATGTAGACATAGAGATCCACGTCAGTGTTTCGGTGTTTGTGCACTGAGGTGAGATTTTCCTTGTATGATCTAATAGAAAATACTGCAGCACTGCAGCACCTACGGTGATATCCTAATGCAATGAATGTGTTAAAAGTGTTAAAAGATTACCTTGAAGGACATTGTTGTTCTGTTGTCTGTCAGCATGCTCTGGTACATCTCAAACACCGGTACAAAAGTTTTTGAGGTGGGGTCACAAACACACTGTTGGAAACAATTTATGAAACAACTTGAATAGTGTGTGTGTGTGTATGGATGTGCATGCACTCATGAACGCACGCTTACACACACATGCTTGCGCATGCATGGGTACATGCGCGCAGGCACACGCAAGCACAGGCACGCAGGCACACACACACAACACCCCCCCCCCCCTTTCCCCTTCATAAAGTAATACAAATAACTGATCACAGATTAACATACTTTACCTCTCAAAGCACTCAAAGCAGTAATAATGACCCACAACACTTAAAATACACATATACACAAAGTAATATTTATGAAATACTGACTAACCAAACAAGATGAAATACTGGCCACACACACAAAAAGCAATATGAAATATAAAGCAATATGAAATATAAAGCAATATGAAATATAAAGCAATATGAAATATAAAGCAATATGAAATATAAAGCAATATGAAATATAAAGCAATATGAAATATAAAGCAATATGAAATATAAAGCAATATGAAATATAAAGCAATATGCAATATGAAATATAAAGCAATATGAAATATAAAGCAATATGAAATATAAAGCAATATGAAATATAAAGCAATATGAAATATAAAGCAATATGAAATATAAAGCAATATGAAATATAAAGCAATATGAAATATAAAGCAATATGAAATATAAAGCAATATGAAATATAAAGCAATATGAAATATAGACTAAGAAACCAGCATAAAATACTGACGAACAAAGTATTCGTACCTTGCTATCAATGAGCAGAAGTTTTGTCAGCAGGAGCAGGGCCAGACTTTGGGATTCCTGAGTTCCTTCATCTGCCCACCAGGACCTCAGCTTGGTCCACTGCTTGAGGATCTCACAGCACAAGCTGACTCCTTCCCTGCCGTGATGAGATGGATATACAACATCACAGGGCTTTGAAATGTACACACTTTATTGCATAATGGTAACATCCACAGGTTTTTTTTAACTAGACATGACAATAAAATGGATAAGACCAGACTCCCTCATCAAACCCTCATATGGACACCGGAAGGGAACAGAAAATGGGGAACACCAAGAGAGACCCTGCATAGAAGCATCATCAAGGAGGGCTTAACCATGGGCCTAACAAACATCCAAGACTTAAAGCTAGACTGGGAGAGCTATGACCTCTGCCCTACGTGAGCCATAGGCCCAAGAGGAAAAGCTAACTAACTAACTAACAGCGATAACGGTCTAATCTAGCACACTCCTGAACACAGGGAAAAAAATCAGCCTTAGTCACTTGACTGAAAACCACTGTTCTTCTTCTGTGTACACCCTTACAAGGCATGTTGGCATACTGTGATGTGGTTTCCAGATGGGTTTCAATATTTCTGCCTTTTGACACAAACTATATGATTTCAGCAAATCATCTTTAACGATGTTTGCTAAGAGGCCGAGGCTATACGCTTATTCCCCCAGACTGCGGCTCTGGAACCCATGCAGGGAGAAATGAACTCACATAAATGTTATTTTAGTGTAAGATTTTCTGTGTGTTTATGTGTGACTCGTTCACAAAGACAAGCACTGTAATACTCTGGTTACCATGTCTGTCCCCTTGCTTGGTGGTGGCACTCTGGGGTAAGAGGGAATGAACCAGTGGATTGGCTTGCTAGCAGGGCCACGGTTGACACATGAAAAGCAATGGACCAGGTCTCAGAGCTCTCAAGAAGGCAGGACAAGCAGATGATTCAGGAGACAATAGTGAATCAGCAACCTTGACAAGGCTACAAGAACTTCATAAAAAAGAGTGTCGCCAGACATAAACACTATATGGGTAGCCAAAGAAGAATAGTAAACCAGTACAGGCTATTGTTATCAGTCATAAGAAGCTGAGAGAGATACTAAAGATGGGATCCAAGCACTTATGTACTTATCCGTTGGGAATTTTTGAGATAAGTAGCTTTTCAATTGATTGCCTAATAAGCTTTTGAGCTTGAAAAAATTAATACCTGAACATGTGGTCTAAATGGCTAATAGTAGTACTGGCTGACACTGATTATCTATCTGGGTGGCAGTCCAGCTTATAAGGTGGACGAGGTGAAATGCTAGTTCTTGACACATTCATTCTTCTTCTTCTTCTTCTTCTTCTCTTCCACCTTGTACCTCAGCTCTGTCAAGAGCACTATTAGGACTTCATTTCTGTAAGGCTGTTTTTAATGCCATCGATTCATATTTTCCTAGGTCTTCCGCTCACTCTATACCAGTTGTAACATTTTAATGGGGCTCACTGTGGCAGATAGTAAGTACCAGGGCATTTTTGTGAGGTGTCCAAACCACTTCATTTGTTGTTCTTTGATGACTTGTAAGACTGGCTTTATTCTTAGCATTTGTCTGATTTTGTGATTTCATATTATCTTTCCTTGAAACTCCAGCAGCTCTTCTAAGGCATTTCATCTCTGTTGTGACATATTTATTTATTTACCTAAACACAAATTCACAAACATGCACTCACTTTTTGCGCATGGTGCGGTCTTTTGAAACATGATCCAACACTGCAATCAGTACAGCGCTGACGCACTGGTGGTATGCCTCGGCCTTATCCATGACTAGACTAACAAAATCAAGCCCTGAATGTGCAATGTGAGAGGCTAGAGGTGTGCTGAACATGGTGAAGAACAAGTCACCGTGGCCTACTTTGGCTTCCTGACAATGGCTTCGAACTTCTTTTTTATCCATAATTTTTCTCAGCAGAATGTCTTTCTGAAAATAATAATGAATAAATTAATAAAGAATGATAAAATGGCCATGATAAGTACTTTGTAAAATTGTTAGAAAACAATAAAATTTCTTCCTCCTCCTGCTTACTCATTCTTATTCTTCTTCAGCTGTTCTTCAAAATCCTCTTCTTACATCAGCTTCTTGTTATCCTTCTTTTGCTTTAAACAACTCCCCAAAAAATATATCTGTCAAAAAATCTTGACAGTTTGTCATGCTTCACTCACTATCCAGTGTCTGCCATCAGTAGGTTAGATAGTGTTGTGTTGTCATTCTACTCATCATATGAGATAACATTTCTGGAAGACACATTTCAATCATTTTAGATTACCCATCCATTATTTTTATGTTTACTTACAAGTAAACTTCAAGAGCATTGTCAAGAGGAGGACAAATTGAATACATAGTGACAGCAGGAAAAATGTAGAAAAGGCATTAAAAAAGGTGAGAGGATCAACTTCATTGCCCTCGGTTTTATTTCATGTGGCTTAGGCTCCTCTTCCAAAAAGCAGACGACTGCCTGCAACAGATGCTGCACAAAGCATGAATGCTGTAGCATCAGCTTCAACCCCCTAGAAATCTGGGAAAACTTGCAAGCATGAACCAAATGAAATGTCCCAAAAATGAAACAACAACCTTCAGAGCAGGAGGTGTATGGTTTGACCACTTTATGAAGACCACTCATCTTCTCCTCTCCTTTATATTTCAGGAGAAGGGAGAAAGGAAAAAACCAGGAGAAGTGAGAAAGGAAAAAACCAAAAGGGAGAAAGGAAAAAACCAGGAGAATTGAGAAAGGAAAAAACCAAAAGGGAGAAAGGAAGAAACCAGAAGAAGTGAAAAAAGAAGAAACCAGAAGAAGGAGGTAAAGAAACCAGAAGAGAGAAAGGAACAAACCAGGAGAAAGGAACAAACGGACGAACAACTAAAGAAGAAACCAGGAAAAGGAAAAAAAGGTGTTGCAGTTTGGTATTTTGGCATTGGGCCACACCTGCATTTGAAAGTATCGGTGGTACATAAGACAGAAGGCTGTGGTTGTACATGATGATCAACACCACAGGGCACAGACTAAGATATAAATTATTACTTACCAAGTGATGTAGCAGCACTTGGGACATTTCATAAATGCTTTGTCCCTATCTTAAGCAACTAGAGTTCCAATTCCA